TTTGTGCGTTCATATACAAGTACATTCCTCACGGTTATCGAGTATTCCGCTGGTCGCATTGGCTCGTATATTTCGCCACTGTACTGCTGCTTTTCCACACTCTCCAGCACGAACTCATACAGTCTGAGTTCACTCATTCTGCTGGTCCCTATGTCACTTCTGGTGTTCTCTTCGTTGTTTGGATTGCTAGCATTTTCGAGAGGGTTATTGAGCTCATTGAAACCACTGTGCAAGCTGTCTCCACGAAGTCCAAGAAGCACTTTGACGAACATCCCGAAGATTCCAGTAACGCCTTCTGCTCGAAGGTAGAGTCAATCACTCCTTTGACCGACGGTGACGCCAAGGATGATGCACCGGCTTGCGAGATCGTTCTCAGGACGCATGTGAAACCGAAGCCAGGGCAGTGGATTCAGGTGACCTTCCCTGGAAAGGACTGTGTTGCACATGCCTTTTCTCCACTGCCGAATCCGAAGGAGAAGCACACTTTGAAACTGTTGGTCTCTTGTGATGGGTACATGACTAAAAAGTTCGTGGCTGCTGACTTCGAGAGGTTCATCAATTCCCGAGTCTATGTGCAAGGTCCTTATGGTGCATCGGATGTGCCCAAACAGATAGCTGGTCCTGATGACTACACTGTTATGATTGCCGGTGGCACGGGTATCTGTCCCATTGCTTCCGTCATCGCTTCCCTGCCTGATGACCAGAAGGAGAAGGTGTCCCTGCTTTGGGCCTTCAGAACGTCCGGTGAATTTGTGTCGGTTCATCAGCTACTAGCTGGTGTTGGCCATCGTGAACTCATGTATTCCGGTACTGATGAGGTTATGCGCCGAGCCACTGCCGATTTGGAAGCTTGCGTGTGCCCCGCTCACTACGGGCAAATGATCACCGGTGGTGATGCTCTGAATAATACTCGTCCTAGTCACTATGCTCACCACGGTAACAAGGAGATCGCTGATTTCGTGAACAAGGCCATTGACAAGGCGGATCAGAGCAAGGCGAAGAGGATCAACTTCTACCTGTGTGGGCCCGTTTGCATGATCAACTTGACGGTTGATGCTATTCGAGCAGCTGAGATACCTCAGGGTCTCGAGCTTGGTGTTATTAAACGCGAGTCGTTCGGCATGATGCCATGGTAATTCTCTGTACTTCATAGTTGTTCCTTTCCTGTTTATGCATGGGCAGTATTGCCATTTGTCAAGACGGTGGCAATCCCATGCCTATGTTATTCGGGCCTGATTTAT